CAAAAAAAAAAAAAAAAAAAAAAAAAAAGCTGCAAAACTACAAAACTACTAGTAGAAAATGCAGGGTAAATAGTTGATGACATCAGAGAAGCAAAGATTTATGAAATAAAACCCCTAAAGCACAGGCAATAATCTTTAAAATAGACAAGTGGGATTATATCAAACTAAAAAGATTCTTCACAGCAAAGAAAACAATAAAGTAAAAAGACAACCCTTGGAATGGGAGAAATATTTGCAAATTATTCCTCAGATAAGTGATTGGCATGGAGAATATATAGGGAAATCAAGCAGTTTGTCCATAAAAAATGAATAATCCAATTTAAAAATGGGCAAGTGAATTCAATAGACAATATGACCCAGTAGTTCTACTCTTTGGTATTTACCCAAAGAATAGAAAAACACTCCATCTGAAAGACATTTGCGCATCAATATTTATTGCAGCATTATCTATAAGGGACTAATTACTAAAACATGGAGCCAACCTAAGTGTCCAAAAACTGGAGACTGAGTTGAATAAACTGTGGCATGGAATATAACTTAGCTATAAGAAACAATGAGATCCTATAGTTTGACTCAAAGTGGGTAAATACAGAGGACTTAATGTTGAGTGAAGTTGAGCCAGACATTGAAAGATACACTGTAAAGTTCCCCGTTTTAAAACATACATATATGTAGTATATATCACGATAGTGACTTTACATAATATGTAGAATTACTATGAATAAATAAATTAATAAAAAGTTTATTAAAATTTTATACTAAAAAAAAATATTATTTTTCAAATGTTCGCATTTGTTGACATAATTATTTCACTTCTAAAAATTTATCCTAAGCTAAACAAATAATCAGGGATATGGAAAGATGTTCATCGCAGCATTATTTACAATAAATTATGGTACAGTTATATAATGGAACTTGCAATCACTAAGAAACAATGTATTAAGGGGGCCAGCAGGTGGCATGGTGGTTAAAGGTGTTAGGCTCCCATATGGCCAACAGCAGTTCAAGTCCTGGACCTGGCGGCTTGCTTTCTCACTTTCCCTCTCTCTCTCTCTTTCTCTCACTCTGTTTCTCTGTGGTCAAATAAAAATAAAAATAAATAAATTAATAAAATTAATAAAATAATTCTTTAAAAAAAGAAATAATGTTTAAAAATATTTAATGATAAGTGAGAAATGAAACCAGCAAAATGGTGGAGCAGGTGCTTCAAAATCTCTTATCTCTTCATGGAAATTCAAAAACAAGAAAAACACTGTTGGAACCACTGTTTCCGAACTTTGAAAACCTGTCAAAAGTTGGCAGCCAAAACAACTAAACATTGAATAAAGAAAAACACAACTCTGAAAAGGTAGGAAAGTTTTGTGGCAGTTTTTACTTGCACTGGCCCCACCCTGAGCCCAACTCAGTGACAATCTTGAAGACGGCAGCTTACTTTCCCAGAGGAAAACCCTGATCCCTGGTTACAGAGGGAGCAAAGTGAACTTTCTTCACAAATCATTTGTATGTCTGTTCTAACCTGGCTGAGAGCTCCCTGAAGGACCAATGTGGGCACATAAACTCACTCAGGCCAGAAGCATGGCCTGGAAACACTGTAACCCTAACAACACACAGCTGGCTGGGGCAAAAGATTACAGTTGAGATGTACAATAAGTAAAGCCTGGGAAGAAAAACTAAAAAAAAAAAACTTTCTTTGCAAAATCAGGCACCTGTCTATGCTAGGAAATAGAAGCAGCGTGCCATGTGTGTGCCTAGGACAAGATGCATGCTCAGAGAAGACCAGAGAAGACCCTGTGACTTCAACCTAGATAATCTCTAGACTCAGTGCAAGCCTGACTAAGTGCTGAATAAATAGAACAGAACCAATTTTCAAAAACCAAGAAAAATATTTTTGTTCATTTGTTTTTAAGCCCCTGGAGTTAAAGGAAATTCTTGTCAAAGCATCAGCTGAAAAAAAAAAATAATAGAAACTTCAGTGACAACACCTGGATTAGAATACAATTTTGTGATGCCAACAACATAAAAGTGGGAAATAGAGCTAGAAAGGCAGAGTTATTACGTGCTACTGGAGTTAAGATATTAATTCAAATAAGAGTGTTATGCATTTAGGATGGTGCATGTCCATGATTACATATCATGTGATTTAAAACCCCACAGATAATATCATACTCAAGGATGGGAAGCTTTTTCCTAAGGTTAAGAACAACAACAACAAAAATGTCCACTTTCAAAACTACTATTCTACATGTACCAGAAGTTCTACCCAGACAAATCAGTTGGAAAAACAAACAAGCAAAAACCAGGAGCTGCAGGTCTCTATTTCAACAGGTGCCAACCCTAATGCACACTTGTGTTTGTTTGTTTGTTCATTTGTTTTACACAGAGAGAATTTTCTATAGGGTGCATGTGCTCACCAAAGAGACAGAGAAAGACAAAAAGCAGAAAGTTAGAAATCACCCCCGAGGGGATGGCCACACCACAGTCCCTTCTCTTCCATTCTCCTCTGGGGATTTTAGGCATACACACACATGCTCCCTGTATGAGTTTTAAGTTGCTGAGTCCAGGACTTGAACCACGGCTGACTACGTGGGAGTCCAACAATGTAACCATTACATCATCTTCTAGTCCCCAACCCTAATACATGCTTTAGCTCAAGCTCACATGGACCCCTCCCCATCATGGGAGCTCTCCAAACTTGGCTGGTCCGCAGTCTTGACCAACACTGAGCTCAGCATCCACTTGATGGGTATTGCTGATTGTTGGTCCCACCTCAGCGAGGGCCCTCCAGTCTCAACAGGCTGGCACTCTTGATCCTGCCATCACAAGTGACCGCTTCCTTTCTACTGCTGGTGTCATTAGACTCCAAGAGATGGTGGTCCAACATCCCTAGCCCCTACTACTTCCTATGCCAAGTAGCTGATTTATTGATCCCCAAACCCACAAAACCACATAACCACTATCATAAACACAGAAAACCTGAAATATTGAGACACTCATGGTCACCACTGCTGGTGACTACAACAGAAGAAAACCTACGAAGACTATATCACTATGCCCACGGAAAATCAAAACAGCTCATCTAACTAACACTAAGGACACATTCCCAAGAAAAATTCCACTTAGAGGACTATTCCAATATAAAGCAAAGAAAACAGAGCTCCAATATATCAAGGGAGGGGCAGCATGTGGCATGATGGTTAATGTGCTGGACTTCCACACGACTGACGACAGTTCAAGTCCTATACCTGGAAGCTTGAAAAGCACTCCCAACATCCTGAGAGGAGGATAGAGGAGAAGGGATTGCAGCATGACCTTCCCCCCACAGGAGGTGATTTTTTTACTTTTCCTCTCTCTGTCTCTACATCTTTCCAGTGAGTACATGTGCCCTATGGCAAAAACTTTAAAAAAGGATCAGAAGAGGTGACTATCAGACTAGATGTATATATATCAATGGGGGGGATGCAGAAAACATGATAAAACAAGCAAACCTACCACTTCCAATGGAATACAATAATTCCTTTATTATAGATACCAAAAATAATAAAATTCTCAGAATGCCTAAAACAAAATTTAAAATAATAATTCTAAAGAAACTGTATGAGATACAGGAAAACACTGATAAGTAATTCAACAAAATCAGGAAAATGATTCAAGTTCAA